TGTGTTTCTTTTTGTTCTCTTTCTTTTTTCCTAAGGTTACAAGTATTGTTTTTTAAGTTATTTTCTCTATAAATAAAGGTTTTTTATTAATGTATATTTGTGTATTAAAGATCAGCGAGAAGAGTTCTGTGAATAAAATTGTTTAATACAACAAATTGCTTTTTCAGAAATATTTGTTTCAACTATACCTATCATATTATATCTTTTTTTTTTAAATTTATCTACTAATATTTCTAATTTATATCTGTTTCTTTTTAATCTATTAATATTTTGCATAGCTATATTAATTCTTTTCCTAATTTTTGTTGCTTTAATATTGCTTTCTATTGCTCCTATACTCTCTCTTTTGTAGTTTTCTTTTTGTAATCTTATATTATATTAAACAAGTTTTTCTTCTTACACAAAATGAGTTTTCTTTAATTCAACTAGTATGAAAGTTAGGAATGATTTGGAGTCTTTATATCTAGCTCTCTAAGTCTTTCTTCTAAATCTTGTACTAACTATACTATATATTCTATAGATTTGTTACTATCTTGATAATGTGTTTGCTTATTTGCTCTTAGCTCTTTATTTCTCTTAGCTACTCTTTAATTGTTATTTTTTTTTCTATATCTTTTTCTATTATCTGCTTCTAAATAGAATCTTTCTTTTACTCTTTTTCTTTCTTGTACAAATTTAGAATATTTGCCTTCTTGGTTTTGATTATCTTCTCTTCTTTTTCCTAGACTCTTTTCCTTTCTTTTTTGGTATATTTTATCTTCTGAGTATTCTTTTGTTCTTTGGTTATATATTATTAATTCTACTTCTTGTTGTTCTATATTTAACTATCTTAGTTAGTTATTATAGTAATATATCAAAAATCTTGAAGTATTTAATATATTCTTCTATTTTTTAAAATATAGTATTGTACTTTCTCTGTTGTTGTTATTAGAGTTCCTGAAAATATATAATACTTTAGCTTCTGTTCTTTTAATTTGTCTCTATAGTAATATCTTATTTGTGTTTTCTAAAAGTCTACTAGTCTTCTGCTAAATCTGTTTTTTGTATAAATCAATTCTAAATTTTTAGTACCTGTTGTTATTCTTACTAGTATTTGATTCATGAAAAGCAAGTACCAAATCTTATTCTTTCTTTTCTCATCATATGTTTCTGTTTTAAACTCTATTTCTGCTTTAGTCTTATCATATATACTTTTGATCATCTTGATATATTCTACTCTCTCTATAAAATGACCTATTTTGAAGACTTGTATTCTTTTTGCTTAGTTTAGTAGATCTCAAACTGGTATCTTGTTTCTGTTCTTATCTAATATCAGATTCTTTTTTTTTCTTCTTCTTGTGAGAACTTCTTCTAGCTTTTCTTCTGCTTGTTCCTATCTTTTTTCTCTTTCTCTTATTTCTTATATAGGTATTCCTTTAGTTTCTTTTTAGTTATTAGTGTTTCTAGTAACTACATTTTCTTCTATTCATTTTTCTAGAATTAGTTTTGCTTTTTTGTATTCTTCTTTTTTGCTTTTTAATTTCTTTTTTGCTTTTTAATTTCTTTTTTGCTTCTTCAAAGCCTTTCTTATAATTAAAAGTTAAAGTACACCAAAGATTTCTATATTTAAACTTTTCAGATATTTCTTTTAAATATAGATTTCTTCTAATCAACTATCTCAATGATTTTTCTCTATGATTTAAATTATTTCTAAGAATTTTAATAGCTGCTACCTTAGCTCTAATATACCCTTTTCCTTTATAGCAATTCTTATTTAATATCCAAATACTTCTTTCTAATAAAGAGTCTAACTCTGCTGATAGAACTTCAACTTTTATTTCTTCTGTAAGGTTATTATATTAGTCTGAGTCATTGAGTTAACTTCTTTTTCTTGAATTTTTTTAATATCTTTTATTGAACTATATTTTATTGTAATTTCTTTAATCTCTATTGCTTAATCTTCTTCTAATACTACTTGTACTTCTAAATTATCTTCTAAACAAGTTGCATTTCTTTAATCTACTATTTCTATATCTGTTTTGCTTTCTTGTACTACTATTTTTTCTTTCTTTGCTATTGCATCTTTAAGCTCTTAGCTTAATACAATTTTAACTCAATCAATTTCTTCTGTTATTACTGCTCTCTCTATTACTTTCCTCCACTCTCTAGCTACTGTTACTATATTGCTTTCTATCTCTAATATTTCTGTAATTATTCTGTCTATATAGTCTTTTAGACCTATTACTGCTTTGCTTCTTTTTGTAATTATCTCTTTACTATACTTCTTGGTTACTATTCTAACTAATCTTGTTGCTTTAGCTCTGTTCTACATATCTGTTATACTCTCTTGTTATCTAATCTGCTTATCAACTTTATCTTGAAATGACTTCATCTTTTTTTCAAAATTCTTTGAGGTTTTTCTTTATTCTTTGTAAAATATCTGGTTTTACTTATGCATATTTTGTTTTTACTTCTTATCATATGATATATATAGTTTATCTATATTGCAGTAGTGTATTAAGCTAGCTAAGGTAGCTATAGCTAAAGTAGCTTAGCCAGCTTAGCCAGCTGATAAAATATGGTCAGCTAGCTAATGCAGCTTAAGGTCACATATCATTCTGCATAATTTTGATTAGATATTACAATATCATTTTCAATTGTTCAATCAAAAAGCAAATCAAATCAATATACTTACCTGATCTGAATTAATAATTTATATGTATATATTAAAAAGTAATTTATAGTCTTTTATTAGACTATTTTTATTTAGTATTGTTTGAATTATTCTAGATCTTTAAAAGATCTGCTATATAGAAATGTTGTACTATGAGACATCAGTTGATACCAAAAGAGAGTTAAGATTTGTTAAAAAATACAAAAAAACAATTATTGCGATAAGCTTTTATGAAAAGTTAAGAATATATATTTCAAAATATTAAGTTTATATTTATACTCTAGCTTGAATCATACAGATATATTACATATCTCTGTTACTCAAAGAAATTTGAACAAGCTATTTTACTAGAAAAAAAAACTCTTCAAATGATTCTACAATTTACTATTCTTTCAATGTTAATTTTTAGTATAATTAAATTGTTCTTATTTTAAATTTATTTAAACTTTCTATTGAAATATTTTTATATTTTCTTAATTGATCTCTATTTAAACTAATTGTTATAATATTCAGAGGTTTTTTTTTTATCAATAGAAATGTTATAATATTAATTTAATTAATATTTCTATCTTATAAGCTATTTGTTTTGTAAAGATATACGAAGTTTTAATTAATCTAGGTAAACTTTAAAAATTTTTGAATTTTCTTTAAGGAATAATATGTTATGAACTATATCAGAATCTAACTAATTTTTTTTATCAGTAAATATATTATCTGTATCTGAAAAAATTCTTTCTAAGGGAACTGATGTAGTCAGAAAAGCTAAAAATTTTCAAGCTTGTTGAGAGAGAAAGAGAAATATTGTTTTGTATTTATTTTACCAAGTAATAAATTAACTTTTCTATACTCTTTATCTATTATATAATATTTAGGAATTTGTGATAGGTTATTATAAAAAGCTATTTCTTTTTCAATTAATAAAATATTTTTATTATCACATATATTATCATTATCATTGTAAAAAGAAGCAAAAAAAGAAGAGGTATTAGTATTTGAAAGTTGAATTTCTTGGTTTAAAGTTGATTGCTCTTGTCTATTAAATAAAGTATAAAGATAAGAAATTGTTTCTCTTTTTTTACTAGGTATTATGTAATTCATTTTTTTAAATCTTGGATCTAAAAAAGCAGCTATTAGACTATTTAGTAATAGTTCAGACTACCTTAATAGCATTGATTCATTTATTTTATAGCAACAGGCTTTTACTATAGATAACATGATTCTTAGATAAAAATCTTGTAAATAATAAGAAAGCTTAATATGAGTAGGTATTATCATTTCTAAGATCAGGTATTGACTTCTTTCAATATATCCAGTCACTTATGCAAAAGGATATAGAAGTTTTAATAATTTATTTAATGAATTCCATTCCTTTGCTGACAAGAAAAGCTCTGAGTGTTTTGTTCTATTTTGTCTTTCTTGTCAGTTAATACTTTGTTTTAGATCACTAGCCAATCACATAATAGTATAATGAATAAGAAGAAGATTATTTAAAAGATTATATGTTGAATTCCAATGTGTTTGAGTATCACTTGAAAGAGAATTAACTAGATGCTCTAGGTTTAATTCAGCTTGCAATTTAAGAAGTTTTTCATAGTATTTATCTCAACTAACATAACTATTTTTTTTTTTTTTTTCAGCAGTCATGCTACAACTTTTTGATTTATTAAGAAGGTTAAAGTATAAATACATATATTCTTTACTATTCTCTAAGCTATATAATGCTA